TACTGAGTATGTACAGACTTTTTGGTCACTATTCTCAACAATAAAGGGTTATTACAGAGCATGTACATTGAACTGGGCATTATGAGTAACCCAGAAATGACTTTCAAGTATACCAGGGGATGTTTGGAAGGATGTCTAGGATATGCAAATATTATGCCATTTTATATAAGTGACTTAAAGATTGAGTATATCTCAATTTTTTAAAATATATTCTGTAGCAAGAGTTCTAAAAACTACAAATTTGAGTAATCTAGAGGTTGCCCAGAATGATACCTGTAGCCTAGGCTGGAACCACTTTCAGTTGTACTTCTGACTAATGTACTCAACTGGTGTTAATTAGTGAGGAAGAGTGGGAACAGCAGTTAGAGTAATGGCTATGTTGCTGAACTCCCATGTAGCCAACCACGGTTCGAGACCCAGACCCGGTGGCTTAAACTTAACGCTGGGCGCACGTGCGTGCATGCCCAAGATCCTGAGAGGAGAATAGAGAAAGGATTGCGGCGTGGCCATCCCCCCAAGGGGTAATTTCTCGCTTTCTGTCTCTGTCTTTCTGGCGAACGCATGCGCTCTATAGCAAAAAAAAACTCTTAAAAAATAAAATAGTGAGAAAGAGTGCATATTAAATAATGAGGCAAGGAAATCAAAAATTATTTAACATGTTTAGGGCTTTTTGAAATTTTAAAAACCTGGATTAACCACTGCTTATGGTTTAACTGGCATAAAAAAATAATTTGTGAGTAATCCATACATACATGTATGTTGTACAAAATTCAAATTCACATATACAGGAGTACACATCATGGGGCAGCTTTTCATACCTAAGGATCTTTGTTGTAGCTGCAAGTTGAGTTTTGGGCCTAAAAATGCACTACACTTTTCCAGTCTAACCAAGAGTAAAGCAGCACTCTTCCAACAAAATGCTAGGAAGCAACTAACACAAAGTTGCTTGTTCCACTTACTTGAGAAGTTGAACAACTCGTGAATAAGAAATTACCTCCCTTTACCCTTCCAAAGTACCAGTCATTGAGTTTAATATATATTATTTTCAAGACTTTTTCTGTGCACTTATCGGAGTATGAACATGTTAAGGGTTTGTTTTGTACATAAATGAAATTAAATTAAAATAAATAGTGCCTCTTTTTAAGGATAGGTTAAATTTGTGAATGGTTATTTCAAATATATTGACTAAAAGAAGACACGGGTTATTTTTATTTTCCAATTTCATATTCTTCCTAAAGAAAATACCTTCTTTCTACTTAACTGGTAATGACATAAAAATGTATTAATGATAAGGTAGTACTTCTCATGTAAATTAAAATATGATTTACATATTACTTAGAAGTCTTACATAACAGAAAGTCCTAAATTGGTAACACAAGGAAAAGGTCTGTAAAATCAGCATTATTGATGCAAATTAAAGACACCATCAATGCAGATGTTAGCTATTTAAACTCAGACAATTTATGTGTTGATGGGGAAAAGTCTGAAATATCAAGTATAAAATAAGACACAGCCCAGCTTAGTACATGCTGGATGCTGCTGCTTGCCAGATGAATCCACAGGGGAGGCTCAGGTTCAATTCCTGGCCCACCCTAAGAAGTGGCACAGCTGCACATATCTGTGGTCCCAGCTACTCAGGAAGATTAGGCAGAAGGATCACAATAGAGCAGAACTTAGTTACAAATCACATATATACCCACCCACATGCACACAAAAAGCAAGGTGTAACAGTTTATACAATACACTGCTATCTGTGACTATACAAAATACTAAAACATACAAAGGGATACTCAAAAACTTTCAGATTGCTTTTGGGAAGGATAACTTGGTTAGAGAAGGAAAGACATATTCATACACATCATACCTTTTGAAATTTTATACAGTATACATCAGCCATTTAAAAATCATCGAAGGGAATGGGCCCTGTGACCTAGTGATTAAGGAAGCTGGATCCCACCTGGTTTGTTGTTTAAATCCTGACTCAGCTTGAAACATACTGGGCACATGTGTATGTGGCTCAAAATGCTGACAAAATGGAAAAGGGATTGAGGCCTCACTGGGGGGTGTTTTCTCCCTCTCTGGTGAGTACACATGCCCTCTGACAATTAGAATCTCTGAACTTTTTGAATCATTAAAAGTAATCCATATTTGTGTTTAACTAGTGTACACCAATCTTTTAACAGTGCTACAGTTACTGGGCCTGCCAGTAGTGTGGTGGTTTAAGGAGTCTGGATCCCACATGACTGACGGACTGACAACTTGAAAACCATGTCAGGCATGCGTGCACATGCCCAAAATCCTTAAGGGAGAAATGAAGGAAAAGGGATTGTGATGCAGCCCTCTCCCATGTGCCTTCTCGCTTTGCTTCTCTCTCTCTCTCTCCAATGGATGCACATAACCTCTAGTGAATTTTAAAAACTCAAAACTGCAACTGTTTTCTGTCATTACAGTTAGCCTAATTTTAGACCATAAGCATCTTGACACCCAGTCCAGATCTATCTTTTATCACTCAGCATAAACATGGTGTCTGGAATGCTGTGGACCTTTCATAATGAATGAACCTGCAAGCCAGAGATAATACGAAGACTGGGAAAATAATAGAATATTTCATGTTTACCAGCATAACTTAGGTATATGTTATTTCAAGCCCTTAACCCAGCAGCACCTGGCACATAGTGAGTACTTAGTGCTTCAGAAGATAAAAGTACAGCAATCTTCCCTTACCTGTGATTCTGTTGTACTGCAGTCAAAAAACATGAGTACAGCATTTTGAGACCACATAACTTACAGCATATTGTTGTTTTGTTATTCTCGTACTATTCCTAATTTATAAACTTAATCAGTTATGTTTATGTTTGGGAAAAATACACACACACAGGGAGAAAGACTGGTACTACCCAGTTTCAGACATCCTATGGAGGTCTTGAAATGTACCCCCGCATATAAGACTACTACAATCATTCTGAATTGGAAAGGCAAAACAGCCTAAAGAGAAGTAGCTCCAGGAAAAGAGTACTAACATCTACCTCAAGGGGTTAGACAGGATAAATGAGAGAATACATATAGAACAGAAAAGGTCAGAGTAATGGACGTTCAAGAGACTATTAGAAGATAAATACAGGCAGATTAATAGGCTTTTTGTACCTGTAAGATATGTTAGAGGTTTTCTACAAGTAATATTAGGAACTTGAGAGAAACAGCTAGTTTAAAAACAAAACAGCTAAAATGATCGAGAGCAATTGTTCCGGAACTTACACATTTATTTATATATGTGTGTGTGTGGTGCGTATATATATATAAAAATTTTTTAAAAAAGGTTTTTGCCACAGGGCACATACACTTACCAGCGAGACTGGCCACAGCACAATCCCTTGTCCTCCATTCTCCTCTCGGGATTTTGGGTACGCATACACTTATGTCCAGTGTGACTGAACTGCCAGATCTGGAATTTGAATTTGTGGTCAACCATATGAGAGTCTAGCACCCTAACCACCATGCCACCTGCTAGCCCTTATCTTTTGTTTTTTTTGATCTTTTAAAGCAAGTCTGTCCACTTAACTCATGGTCTAAACTTGCTGTTTACTGTGTAGATTAAGATGATTTTGCTCCAGGCCAGCAGATGGTACAGTGGTTAGATCATTGGATTCCCACCATGGTTCAAGTCCGGGACCCAGTGGCTTGAAACTCACACCAGTGCATACATATGCATGCATGCCCAAGATTCAGGTGTTCCCACCCCACAAGTGAAAGTGCCCTAAGGCAAAAACCTCTCAAAAATAAATTTAAGATTATTTTGCTCCTCAGTCTCAAAACCACCAAGGCATATAGCTGAGCAACTGCTGGCTCATCATCTTTCCCAACCTGCTGCCCATGTTCCCAGTTCAGTCACTTTACCAAATACTTGGGAGCGAATGAGGCCTTTGTTTTGGGTTTTGATTCTTGGGAAAGACATGCTAAGAGGAAAGTTCATATTTATAAGTATGTTAAACAAGTATTGACTTTTTTTTTTTTCCCCCAGAGAACATGCTAGAGAGAAAAAAAAAGGTGATAAGCAAGAAAGCACTCCTGTAGGGAACAGTCATACCTCAATCCCTTCTCCACCTCCTTTCTATAATGGATTTTAGGCACATACCCTATATAACCAGCATGTATTTCAAGCCACCAGGTCAAGGACTTAAACCATGTGGTTGGTCCCCTGGCAGTCAGCCTTAACCACCAGGCCATGACTGGAGCAAATAGGACATGTTTTCAGTTTTTTAAATTGCCAGAGCAGCATGTCTGCTCACTAAAAACCCAGAAAGGGAAGGAGGGACAAAACACCCCATGAATGGGGAATGATATGCTGCAATCCTTTCATTTCTCCATCCTGTTGGGATTGTAGACACACACACATACATATACCATCAGTGTTTTTCAGTGGCCAGGGCTGGTATTCAAAACAGCCATGTGGGATCCAACTCCTTTAACCACTAAGCCACGGGGCTGGTTCCAGACTGGACAATATCCCAAATGAATTAATGATGAATAATAGCTTTCAGAAACTGCAGGGTTTTCAAGTATATTTGATATCTGTTTTCAAGTTTCAATTTGCTTCATCTTCAAAAAAACATAAATATTACTTAACACTAATCAAAAAGACCATTTAATCTATAAACATATTTCCACTTCATTTGGTGACTGCTAAAAAACTATAGATAGCACTAACTACAAAACCACTTAGAGCTAGGTTCAAATCCAAATTCTACCACTTACTAATTGCATGAAATTAGGCAAGTAACTTGGCCTCAGTCTCAGTTTCATTATGTATATATGAAGTAGGAAAAATAACAGTACCTATCCCTATAGATTATAAATCCTACATGGCTTTTAGGTGTACATACTACAACTCTTCTGGCTTGAAGAATACCATGGAAATCACCTCTTACAGAGTTCACTAAAATTCCTCTTAAGATTTATATACTGTATCAGTTACACCTGAAACCAAAGAATCAGAAGCAGAATCAAGAGACAAAATTTAATATATGCACACAGTTTTATATATAATGCAGCATCACACCATGTAGGGCATTTACTCTTATTTTATACATTCAGATATGTTTGAAACACTTCTTAAGGCTACAAAACAGAACATAGAAAAATAAACAGGAATATATTCAACACTTACAAAAAGTGATATGATAAAGAATATAAAGTACTATTTTCCTTTCAACACTTCAAAAGATATGTATATATACTTTTTTTTACAAGTAACATCACAAATGATCACATCTTCACATGCTTTTAAGTATTATTTGTACTCAGTGTAAGGCTATTATCATTTTCCATACATAAATTTTTTTCTAGCTCTGTAACAATGCTATTTTTAATCCATTCAAGTAAATTCAACCCCAAAGTTGCTGCTTCTCAGCATTAAGACATGCACCCACCCCTCTTCTAGGATTTTCTAAAACTTGCATGGGGGGGGAGAATCTCTCTTTAAAAAAAAAATCCCCAAATCCCAATTAGTGGGAGAATAAATGGCTGATACTAGTAGCAAAACCTTAGTTCTTTGAAATTGACATATTGGAAGTGAGCTACTATTAAGATTTTTAACAAAAACAATAGCATTTAGACATAAAACGGAGCAAAATACAGTAAACAGAAATAGTGTAGCCAAATACGCATTCTCTTCAGCTACACCAGAGTGGACCTTGCTTAGTACCCATAAGTAAAAGACAAAAGAGTGTTTACCTCATCTAAAACCAAAGGTAGAACAAATGAGGCAAAAATAAATATTGCTAGTTTCTAGGATGGCTGAATGTTTTCTAAACCAGAAATGGTTAGAAAGGAACTTTATTGCACCAAGTCAATCATAAGCAAGCTTGCAGTTCACAGGCATTTTAATTCAACCTTGAGTCACAAAGGGAACATCACAAGGCTAGAATAGAGTTTGCATCAAAGAAGCTGTATCAACATTACAGTTTGGGAAAACCTACTCCAGCCAGGTCAGGGCAGGATTTCAGCTTAGGTCTGCCATGAAAATGAACATGTGGGTTAACAGGAATGAGGACTACATAGATGCTAGTATCCTGCTGTCAAGGAACACAAGGGCAAGAGTTGAAAATTTATCTCAGAGAAACTTGAAGAAGAGACGTATACATAATACTAAAAGGAAAGGGGGCTGGAATCAAGTTCAGCAAAAGCACCTAACTAAAACAAAAAGAACAAGTGAGCTTTGGTCAGTCTAAACATTTGTTCTTCAAAATGTATATGATCATAATACAGTGAAGTTTCATAATTTCCAACTCAAAATACAAATGATTCATTCTCAGTCATATACTTCTGCTGCTTTTCCCTTCTATAGAAGTATCTCATGTCAACATACAATATGACATACAATTAAAATGAAGGAGGACAAAAACTTGCTTGGCCCTAGTTTGACCTCAGCATAAGGCAAAATTCCCTGGACTAATACATTTAAAGACAAAACTAAAGGGAAAAAAAAAAAAAAAACTGACCTTCATGCAAAGATTGATAATTTTACAACTGTCAAAAGTCAGAGTTCTTTCATTCCAGAGATCACTGAGAAAAGTACCATCTGCTAATATTTTCTCTGACTGTTTCCATCATATCCTGAAAACAAGAGATGGGAAACAGGAAGCAAATCAGTGTCTCCTTAAGGAGCTATACAGAGTATTCTGTTACTCAGTTGAGGTAAGATAAGAAAGTGACAGTGAAGAAATGAAAAATATTCTTTCCTATCCAATTTTTAAACATTTGTAGAAACTGGGATCAAATCCCAGTCAATAAAACAAAGGACACTAGAAACAGCAAGTTCTTTTGGACTCCTGAGATCAAACTATATTGAACTTTTAAATCTGGTATTCATATCAAAATGTGATTTTCATAAAAATTATCAGGTAAGCTAATCCTTACATTAAAAGCATGGGCTGAAAGTGGAGGACATGCTAATTTCATTCCATAATTCAGCCACTGATGTTTAGAAAAAATGGCTTAAGCAGTACCTTCCATCAACTGTTCCAGCTTAGAAGGTGACAAAAATTCAACAAATTCTCAAGAGTTTTCTTTTCCACATAACCATCCCAGTCTTTACAAATTTTTACCTAGCACCATCATAATAAAAATGTTATCTTTCAAAGTGCTCTCTAAAATCCTATGTCACAAAATAATCTAAATGCTAATCACTACTCAAATCAGCAGTTACACAGACTTCAGGTAATTAAAACAGCACAGAGGTAAATAACCATTATTACAGTACAGTGGAGATTCACTGAGCCTAGCTGGCATCCAAACATTCCTACAGATTATCAGAGAACCCAGAAAACTCATCTGCTTCAGTTTGTCAAATTCAAGTGAATTGCATTTCTTTTAAAGTAATTTGCTCAGAAAGAGAAAGAGAGAGAGAGAGAGAGAGAAAACCACCACATCTATTTTTGGCTAGGTATATTACACATGGCATGCAAGAGAAATTAACTACTATATTATTTGCATAGCACTCAAACTTCCTGATCAAAAGGTAATGTTGACATTAAAAAAAAAGGGTAGATTTTCACATTAGATATTTACAAATAATAAAAGGTACAATTATTTTTACAAACACAGATGAATGAATACTGTGTTAATTCAGAGTCCAATCTCCAAATGAGAACAGAGTGCAACATGCAAAGGAAATCTCTAGTGAATACTGCAAAGACTGGGAGAAGTGGGATCAAAGACAAGTTACCGAAGGGTAATGAGCTATAAAATGCAAAGAAACCATTTTCTAGCAGCATCCTCTAGAAAAGAACTAGAAGTCACAATCCTCTTATTTTTGTACAATTGTTCCAGCCATGACAGGTTGAACATGCAAATGTAAAGTGATACACAAAACCAATGGTGCAAGGAAAAAAACAAACAAACAAACAAACAACCATAGTAACTTCTATAGAAACCTGTCAAGCTAAAAATCTTAACATTTCTCCTCACAAAATATTTAGAATCTGTCAGTGCATTAGTGTTAAAGTGGCATTAAAAAATGTCTGCAGTTTTAACAGATGCAGATTATTTTCAAAATGCATAGCATCTACATTTCTTTCGAGTAGGCACCATGATATTTACACCAGTGCTAAGAACTCTTGGTGGAAACAGCCATTTCACTGGATTTCCTACTATTTCTTAAACATTTATTCTTGTATGCGATCTCAAATTCAACAAATACTCACCAAAATTCAAAAATATACCCTATGAATATTAAAAACTATATACAACATTTCTAAGACACAGGTTAATAGGCTGCCTTATGTGTAGTATTATAGAGAAGACATTATTCAAGTTTGACAGATATTGAGATGAAAGGCCTTTGGGTTGGAAGCATTTTAAAAGACAACAGTGTTTTAGGCTGAGAATTGTTTGAGCCCAGTTTATGACTAAGGCATTGCATAATAAAATATACATTTCTATTTGGTGCAATGTTATATTTTGGAATCTAGTGTGTCAAATGGTTCATTTTCTTGTCACTTTATTAAACACTATAAAGCCCACATTTCCAACATTTGAAATCAAACTTATACAAAGAAAAAAAAAAACAATCACTAAATCTATGTTTTATATTAAGCTGTTTATAAAAAATACTTTAACAAACTTATTTTCTACTTTTTATGGGGCAGTCACCTGATAAACAGATTCTGAATGAAGAAAAATGGCAATGCCAGGAATTCACCTGCCCCCTTGAACACATGTCCAAAATCTCATGTCCAGAATTGGAGTGAGGGTAAACGGGAAGGGGAGGAGATAGTTCCAATTTGGGTTTTTATTTTAATGTAATTTTTAAAGCCTTCAGAGACACTCCATCTAAGGGTTTCTGCTCTAAAATACTCCAGTTACAACCATCAGGTGTGTTGGCCCCTATGGCCATCTCCCATCCCTGATCTCCTCCTGTCTCCTCTATATGGTCGCCCTCTGGTGTTTCGATGGTACTGATAACCTTCATCCCGGCTTCTGCTTGGCTGCCCTTTCCAGGATTCCTCACCTCTCACGTGTTGATATCCACCCCTACCAGAATAGCCCCAATCACTTTTGTACTTCCTGCCTCCATAAGTCTGATTATAGAACTGCTTGGATCTACCACTTCTCAGAATGTTAGACACTTCATTTTCATCTTCTGAACTCTCTTCTTTTGGTTTTTGCACCCTGCAATCCACAGAGTTGGCCCCAGGGCTGACTGCATCAGCAGTAGTCTTAAGATCTTTTACTTTTTCTGGTTTTTCTTTCAGACTTGGAGTGGTCCTTTTAGGCTCGAGTTCAACAGACACAGTTTCTCTCTCTCTGTTTAGAATCTGAGTGGGAGGATGAGCCTTTCCCTCTCCTACAGAGGGAATGGAGGACGTCAACGCTAGATCCGCCTTGCGTGTCTGAGAAGACTGCTCCGCCCGGCCTTCATGCTTACTGCTCACACTTGCTTCAGGGAGAGAATGTGCACATTCACTTCCAGCTTCTTGAAACACATCTACTGCTGAAACCGAACCACATTCTTTAGACAGATCCAGATTTTCCAGGGGCAGATCCAACTCTTCTTTCTCATCTGAGGGCAGGACAATATTCTGCCTCATTACCGGATTTTCTATGAATCCCTGAACAGGGTACCCATACCAAACATGAGGGAAGAAAGGAGGTGCAATGGGAACTGGGCCTAAGAATGGACTAGGTCCAAAGGATGGTTGTGGAAACATATTCTTGCTACTTAGTGACTCCTCATATTCAGCATGAAGAAGTTGCCCAGGAGTCTCAGATTCAAGATCAGTCTGGTAAGACAATTGTCCATGACTTTCAGACACCTGAGATGGAGGGATAACCAGAGGTGAAGAAAACGTTGGTGTTCCAATCTCTGCTTGTGGCATTTGACCATTAACACTGACCTCAGGCTGCATAGGAAAGTGTGCATCGGTACATGTACAATCACTTTCATTCTGAACTGAAGGAGCTTCTTGGAACCAAGGATTATGAGGATACACAGGGACAGGGACCTTTGGGTACATCCTGCAGGCTGCCAGGTAGGCCTGGTGCAGAGGGTACAGGTAAGAATGTGGGGCCCACATAGGACAACTATATGCCTAAAAAAAAAAAAGACAAAACAATGTAATAAATGAAAAAGAGGTTTGGTAGATAGTCATCTAAAATTACTAGGTTCAGAATAAGTTTTTCATACCTGCTATCTACAGCCCAAATACCAGATCACCATGATACTGAACATTAGAAAGAATTACACAATCAAATCACTGTCTTAAGTCTCTGTTCCATGGTTCTATCCTGACACCAGAGTTCTGCCATAGAGACCAACAGGAGATACTATCCTGACCTGTATTCCTATTCAGGCTCTACCACTCACTCATTGTGTGACCCCTATGCTGGCCAGTTAACTTGTCTGGACATGTTGTTCCAGGAAAATGCTAGTACAGGAGTAGACAGTCTACATATATCATGACACCATCTCTTAGGAGGCCCCAGAAGCATTCCAACAGTAAGGATTAAGTTAGCCCTTGAACCAGAAATATCAGAAATGAAATACTCCAAATCTGCTTCTGCAAGTGTTTAGCTAAAACCCAAAATACAAAGAAAATATAACCAGCTACCTGGCTAATTAACTAGTGAGATAAAACCAACATTAACTAGATAAAAATAAAACTAGACAATGAATTTAACAGATGGTGAAATTACTCAAGTCTCCTTTTAGGAAACTAGTCAGTAGGCTAAGGTAGATCACTTTGCTTCATATTTTAATCGTATAAAAACCTCAGAAACTAATCCACAGGTGGGGACCCAGCCAGGTCTTTCTCCAGCCCCTTTCTAAGAAGTTATCCTAGATTGACCACTTCCCAAACGATCTCTCTGCTGTGGGGGTAAACAACCACACCTTCTTACACAGGATGCCCATGTTATTGCCTTTGAGGCAAGGAGAAGAACATTACCCCCATTTCATCAATGACTAGATTTAGATACTCTAAATAGCTTGCTCAGGGCTACCACTAAAAAGTAATGGAAAAGAACTTCGAACCCAGATGTTTCACCTAATTCCCCAGTAAGGGCATTCCCACTAAGCTGCCCAAGGATATGGCCATTTCCTAAATATACTCACAGGGGATTATAAGGAAAAACAGAAACAGGACCCTCCACCACCAAAAACAAACAGTGCTGTACTGAAAATGGAAGTTCTTAAAAATGATGAGATTTAGTAAGCCTTAGTTATTAATCAACAGGATAACAGTTAAGACTACTTAAAAAGTAATAACTTACAACAGTATTAAAAATAACTTTAAAATAAAAAACTTTAAAAAGTAAAATGTAAATTACCTTTACACCAAGATTGAAGAAGAATCGAAGAATGTTCTTATCTGAAAATAATCACCCACTCAAGTTTATATATTTATATATGTTTATATATATTTATATATGTACAAAGTATTTTCTCATCACCCACAATTAATATATTGTTATAAAGACAATTATAGAAACTATAATTATAGGTTGTCACTCTATAGATGCCAATATACTTTATTAATATCTAAACCCCAAAATGGCTTCAACTGAGATTCTTATCTGATTAAAACTTAACCTGAGTGAAGGAAACTCAGGTCCTCACTTTCTTTCTTTTTCAACTCTTCTGTAGGGTTAAGAAATTACAAAATAAGAATTCCCACCCACAGCAGCCACTGAAGAGCAGCAGCTGTGACTCTGCACTCTCCCATGGCCACAGGGCCTAACTGGGGTCACGAAATGACCAAGACCACAAGGAAGCAGAGGCTCGGCCACCACCATGGGCACCTCACGCACAATAGCTTTGGGTTCCCAAAAAGCATTTTCCCCTACAAGCAGCATGTAATGGAGCTACTCAAGGCATCCAAAAACAAATGGTCCTTCAAGTTCATCAAGAAAAGGTTGAACGCACAAACATGCCGAGAGAGAGAAGCTGAACACCTTGGACATCATGCAGGAAGTGGCTACCAAGAAGGAAGAAGCCCCCTCTGCCTAAGATGCGGCATCTTTAAAAAGTTCATGGGAAATGTATATCATGAATAAACTAAACTACAGATGAATTTAAAAATATTTTGCACCAAAACAAACTTGTACTTTAATTCCAATTTTCCAAAGTCTTTCTAAATTCCCCTCATTAACCCTTTACAGAAAAAAAAGTAAATTATGAAATAAAAATCTTGGTGAAGAATAGTAAGAATCAATATGATAACAATGATTAACAAGATATTAGTCCAGATATTCATTTGTCATGAGCCAGATACCACTCTAACGTACCACTAATGAAACCCACATAAAGATCATATAGGTAGTCATTGCATTAATTAGTCTTCCTGTTTTACAAATAGGAAATTTTGAAAACTAAAACAGGGTAAGGCTATTAAAATAAAAGGGGCAAGCAATTTTTTTTATATCTTTAAATATAAAACAAGACATTGTTAAATATAGTATTGTAACAAACAGCAACAGCTACTACATATTACATTCACTCTTCATCATTTTTCCATGGATGAAGTAACATGAGTAGTTTCAAAAAATAGAACAGTGTTCAAAGCATTCATCAATGTCTAGGTTTCTAGTTAGTAAAATTACAATCTTAAAATTTTGTCTTAAGAATGGTCTTGAAAAGTGACACAGAGAGGCTGTTATTAAATATACAAAAAATATTCTCTACTGAAACCGAACTGTAACAGAAGTGAATGACTAACAGCCAAACCTCTGCTATCCTCATGCAAGTCCTTTTCTTTAGCTTTACTATCAGACCCCTGGCCTCTACCTGCATCTCTTCATTTCTTATTAAGCCTGTTTTTTTAAGAGGTTTTTGCTATAGGGCACATGCGCTCGCCAGACAGACAGAGAGAGACAGAGAGATAGAAAGCAAGAAATCACCCCCCAGGGGGGATGGCCATGCCACAATCCCTTCTCCATTCTCTTCTCGGGATCTTAGGCACGCACACACACTAGCCTGGCGTGAGTTTTAAGCCACCTGGTCCGGGACACAGACTGCGGTCGACTACATGGGAATCCAGCGACACAGCCATTACGCTAACTGCTGGTCCCAAGCCTGTTTTTACTTGATAAATAAAATCAACCTGAACTTGAGAAGGATCTCACCTTTAGGCAGGTCCTCTCCAGTCTGACACAGTGAATAAGGTGGTGCAATGGCTCGATCTCCCTTTTCGTTATATGGAAACCCAGGATACAGTGGGTCCTGGTAAAGGCTCAAAGTCTGAGGCAAAGGCATCAAGGGCTGGTTAACTGCCTGTATTGACACAGGAACTGGAGAAGGTGTTAAGTGAGCTTGAGACACAGCAGAATCAGGTACAGTGGTCAGAGTCTGTGTCACTGATAAAACAGGAATTTGAGCAGGAACACCTACAAAGAAGAGGGAAATGAATCAAAATCTGTAAAAAGATGAAAAGGAATCTCTTCTATAAATAGAAGTTTACATTAAACTATACAGAATGCTGCACGACTGATACAACTGATAAAATGGTATATATTTAAATAATCTAAAAAGTGTTTTTTTAGCAACCAAGAACTCTCCTTCAGATAAAAGGAATAAATGAACCCAGGAAACAAGTTCTGAATCAATTTCTTCTAATAGGAGCCCTTACAAACATACGTTAAGACCTGGGCCTGGCAAAAGGTTGGATGGGGAGTACAAAGAGCTACGCCCACTAGGAAGGATCAAACTGTAATGTCAGTTAGTGCTTAACAACCAAAGCAATCAATAGAGACAGATAACTAGCTCAAACATCACGCTCCTATAATTATGACGACATATCTCAAATGAATACCACCCCTATTTGGCTGTCCCACGCTAGAAGGAGAGCAAGAAGACTATCACAGAAAGTGCTATGAGGCTCCACGCGCCTAACCATGCTCCGGGGTCAAGCTCTTAAAAATTTCAAGTCTCCAATTTGAAAAGCTTTTGTTTCTCTAACCTGTTGGTCCAAAAGCTGTCGGTTCACTTGGCCAGGCTGGCACAGTGGCTGGTAAAGAAGGCACCGCAGGAGTTAGATGTACCTCTGGAGAGACTAGAAGGGGAGCTGGATTTGACAAAGACACATGTTCTGCTGGCTTCTTCAAGAATGGGGGGTTGGGGGGTAGAGAAAGACAAGAGTTCATTTTAACACTAATTTTAACCACCAGATGATGTATACTTTGAGATGCCTGCCCTTTACACAACTTAAGTATATATGGTACTCCTGGTAACAGAAATGAAAAGAGAAAGCCACAGTAGCTAATAACTGTACACTAATGAACTTGATTCTATGCAAGGGTTACCTACCAAAAGTGACAGAAGTCACTGGCATAATTAGAACACAATTCTTTTTAGGCAAGTGACTAAAATAATCTTGGAATTCATGATTATTTAGAAAAGCTCCTCACACAAAACATACCACTTAACTATGTGCTTTCTTACCAATATGAAGTATATCAACTGAAAGGCATTTCATCTTAAACTTACTCTACTCCTGTTACAGACCAAGAATAAAAATGTCTGCTAGAACTCTGGACACATCATTAAATCTATAAATTTGTAGTATTCTTTTTAAAATGTACATTTTCCAAATTTCCTCAACTGGTGTACTTGTTCCCTTTCACAAAATAACTGTCACTGATGCACACAACACTTTAAATAAAAAATTTTGAAAGTAGGGACCAGCAGATGGTGTAATGGTTAACATCACTGGACTCCCATGTAGTCAACTGTGGTTCAAGTCCTGGACCTGGCGACTTGCCAGGAGTGTGCATGGGCATGTTTAAGATCCTGAGAGGAGAAAGGAGGAGAAGGGAGTGTGGTATGGCCATCCTCCCTGGGGGGTGATTTCTCACTTTCTGTCTGTCTCTGACTCTTTGGTGAACGCACACACCATATAGCAAAAATCTCTTACAAAATAAATTTTAAAATTTTTAATCGAGTAATAATATATTTAATAAATAATTCTTTAAAATAAATATATATACTTTAGACAACAGTGATGTTAGAATAAATGTTCCTTTTTCCCATATATATGTTCTGTGATTCTAATCATATAAAGAGCAAAGCATCCGAGAGCACAGAGCACTCATTGTCAAATGCAACAACGTACTTACTTGTTCTACAGGAGATGGGCACTCTAATTTCTTTGACTTTGATGGTGATGAAACTCTTGCACATTTTTCATTACTAATATTCTTTGGAGGCAAAAAAAAAAAAAAAAAAAAAAGGCATGATGCTCTATTTCTAAGAACTATATTCTGTAATAATTTAAAATTCATCCTATCTACATCTGAAAGAACCCTCTTTTCCAGTAATACCATTGCCCATAATACTTTTTCCAATAAGATCCGGTCTTCAACAGGTAGGTTTACTTTTCCTATATATCTTTATCATCTCACACTTCTGGCAGCTTTTACTTGAGGCCTAACTTTAAACAGCAAATTCTTCTCCTTTTAAAGTAAACGTTATTTTTTTCTATAATTCTCCAAATAGGACACCCTAAGGTACCTTAAAAACTTAGTTATAATTTGTTCTATCATCAGTTCCCTGCTTTACTAACTTTTCTTTTTTAAGGTTTTTAGTACAATACATAGTTATAAATGTTGAAATCACCTCCATATTCTCCTTCACTTTCTATTATACTATCAGTCAAGGGAAAAGAAAAGAGACAATTAGCATTTAAAACTTTACCTCCAATGTGCTTGGCTCAGGTTTTTTATCCACATGAACATGTCCATGGATAGAGTCTATAAAAAAATCGATAAAAAAGGCAATATCACCTACAAGTCAGGTTTGAATACTGAAGAACAAAATATGAGATAGAGTAAGCCAAAAGCACTATTCAAATCCTGTTTAGTCAGTGAAAAATGTCATTTTTAGAATAACATTTAATAGCTTTAGCTGCAGTGTTTCTCTGCAATGGTCAGATATGAGACATTAGATAAACTGCCTGACAATTTCAAGTATTTTCTTCCCAATATATGACTTTGAACCAGAGAGATCTCTACCAGTTGCTTTCAAGTGATGAAATAACATACCTTTGTCTTTTCGTTCTTCTGTATCCATTCTCCGCCTGCTTCCTTTTCTATCACTAACATGTGATGGTTTTCTCTGGACATATGGGTTGTTGCTCTGAGAAGGGGACTGACTGACTGATGAGCTCTTTAAAATGAACAGAACCCAATAGTTTATGTTAAAAGTTTACCTACAAATTTACGAACAAATGTCCTATAATTCATCTTCCTATTTCTAAGTAAAATAAATTTCAAAACTCATATCACTATAGTGACCCAAGTATCAGATCTGGTTACCTAATACTATGACTCAGTAATATGACTACTAATGCACAGTATATAATTAAATATGGACCCTAGGATGCATCAACCCTGTCACTAACGTTTCAGTAATGAAAGAACTGCATGATCTTCTTTAAGGCATCTTTCAGTTTAAATAGTAACAGTCTACCATCAAAGCTATAATACAGAAACTATACTAAAACTTTAATATATATTAAGGGACTTGTAAACAGTATTTTTTTAAAATCTTTTTATACATACAGAAAGGGCTGGGAAAGCCTGTTCATCTCTGTTCTGAATCTCATAGAGTAAACGAGACTCTTCTATAGCTTGCTTCTCTCTGCGCTCTTCTGGTGAGAGGCCAAAATAGTTAGATTCTCGAGTTGTATGATCAAAGTCCTCAGCTCGTTCACGATCAGGTTTTCTGTCAAATAAAACATAATGTCAGAAAACAAAGACATAAAACGTATGGAGTACCCAAATGAAATCATCTATTTTGCAATACAAATACCTGACCAATTTAGCTTCACTGCATTTAATGAATGTACAGCAAAAGGAAGCTACCTTACAGAGTCTAGAAAATAAACGCTAAAATGGGGGAGAAAGGGATTATAATTCACTTCTCCATGATAGAGAAATCATTGAGTTTCCTTTTTTCTTTTCATCTGGACAGTCATGAAAGAACTATAAATAATTCTTTACACCATATTCCAATACTTAACAATTTTCTCTCAAAAAGGGCAAAATTACCAGTTTAAGCCTCAAAGCATTCTGACTTTCTGTCTTACATAAAGGGCAAAAGTCAAATGTGACACCAAGATCATCTTCCAGCTTGTTAATAACACCCATCAATGGAGATGGAGGACTGAAAAAAAAAGTTAAATAAAATGTGCCAAAAGCTAGATACTAACTACGCATCTAAGACTGCTGTCATCTCAATATAATTTTGGTCAAAGAAGGATGACAAGAACTTCATGAACAGGGCTCAGTATTCTATAAGACAAACCTACCGTTACGGATCATGACTATCAAAGCAATTTAAGTCCTATTTCTACCATGTCTAACAGTCCCGCACAGTAGGAAATGAAAATCCAAAACCTATAGAAAAAAATATGTGCCACGGAATACAGTATGGGGACAAAATCTTCCTAAAATTAGTGGGAGAGACACTGTAATGTCACCTTTTCTTTCATCTCTGAAATAAAGAATGGCCACTTCATGTCCTCAGACAGTCTCACTTAAATCACACTCTAATTCCAACTAAGAAGATGTCAAGGGTATCAGGAGAAAGCACAGGGAGCAAATCTGGAGCCTCATAATCTTTGGTCGATACTTCTCAAACCTCAGTGGTAAAAGATAGCAGAAAGGATTCAGTGATTGGGAGTACTTGGAAAATTACCACTGTCTCCTACAATTAAATTAAAAAAAAAAAATCCTGCTATTGTGTAGTTTTCATCTTATTTTCACCTACCACACAGGACAACTGCTTCCTATTTTTTGACCTAACTTGAAGAGAGACATTTACCGGTGATATTTCTTGCACAGTCACATTAATAAAAACATACACGGTAATCCTGCTTGAGTTTTGTTTATATTTGCTTTAGTTTTGTCCAAAGGAGACAGTAGCCACAAGGAAGAAAGTGAGAGGCTGTGAAGGTCTCAGACTCAGCATTACAGTTCTCTTTTATTCTATAACTAGAATTAAAACTGGTGTGTTAAATATTAGAAATAAAGTCAAGATGAACTCTAATGAGACTCTTAACTATAAAATACTAAACAATGTGTTTGTTTATTAAAAATCTTACTTCATATATTCAATAATCAGCAGTTTCTAAACTTAATACACTAATAAAATTCACTCTCACACACAGTATGGAGAAGGTATACTAATAATCTATGACTATCTGTGAACACGACGAGGTTCCTATGTAAACACCCGTAATGTCTAAAATTCTTGAAAGCTCCCACTGCCTTGTCATATCTCATCAAATGTCTTTAGATAACATGCAATACACATAGCTAAACTCATGAAAGAGAAAAGGATTCTAGTAAATCAAAAATAAACTTGTCTACAGAATAGCATTAAAACGATTGCTGGCTGAAAGCACTAATGTGAAACACCTGTTTGGGCATACTACCAACTCCTAGGAAATGAAAATTATACCAGAAACACACTGGTTGTCTAAGTGCCGTTGTGATAAACAAAAAAAAATTAAATCAGTCATTTAATAATTATGTGTGTTATTTCCTTTTTAAATCTTTATGACACTGAAGTATATACCCTGCGTTAAAAAAAAAAAAGGTTTTTCTAGTCTATTAAAATAAAAATTTTATTAAAGTAAAACCTTATATCTGCCTATGACCTTTTTATGGTACTATATATCTTTGTATTTCTAATATATCTTTATATTTAATATTCAAAACAAGTTAATCTCTTAGATACTTCACCAACATTGAGTAAGCTAGTACTAGTTGCTAGGAGAGTCTAGTCAATGTCCAAATAGATTTCAACCACACTAATTAATGGTACAAATTCTGTTTGGGAAAGGTAATCTACCATGAGCCCAGGTACCCCTGTACATTGCTGGTTTTGTTTTGTTTTGTTTGTAAGAGAGATTTTTGCTATAGGGCATGTGTGTTCACCAGAGATAATACAGTGAGAAATCACCTTCCGGGGGGGTGGGGGGATGCCACATTGCAATTCCCTCTCCTCCATTCTCCTCTAAGGACTTGGGACACGCACACACACGTGCCTGGCATGAGTTTTAAGCCACCATGTCCGGAACCTGAACCTCAGTCAACCACGTAGGAGTCCAACAACCATTACTCATCTGCTGGTCCCACCCCTGTGCATTACTCTTGGGTAACCAAGATTACGAAACTCTGACCACTCTTAACCCAGGCCATTTGTGAGGGTGGTTTGCCGTAGCATCCTCAAAAGAAAAGGTATGTCTCCTTTCCTACATTTTTAAATAGTTTATTTCATTAGAACTTCTGAAAAGTTTAATTACGAATATACATGTATTACCTATACAAGTATAAAGATCTTTGTTAGGATACATAAAGATGGGAAAATACAGACAGAAAGAATGCTTAACACAAAATAAACTTTTAAAATTTTAGATTTTCAACAGTATGAATTGTTTTCCTAACATAATTTTTTTTAAGAGAGACATTGGGCACGTGCGCTCACCAAAGACAAAAAAAACAGAAGTAACCCCCCAGGAGGGTGGCCACGCCGCAATCCTTTCTCCTCCATTCTCCTCTTGGGATCTCGGGTAAACACGCACACGCACAGTTTTAATCCGCTGAGTCTGGGACTTGAACCATGATAAATTACGTGAGAGTCCCGTCACATAACCATTACACTATCTCTGCTGGTCCCTCATAAATAATTTTTTTGAAGAATTCTTTTATTCTATCTTATTTATTTATTTCAATTTGACCAGAGAGGGACCAAGCGAAAGAGACAGAGAAAAAAAAAAAAAAGAGAGGGGAGAAAGCAAGCTGCCAGGTCCAGGACTTGAACTACGGTCGGCCATGTGGGAGTCCAGTGCCCTTAACCACCATGCCATCTGCCAGCCTGATAAATAATTATTTAATTAAAAGAAAAGCAATAAACTTAAATTTGTTATGAGTTGGATTTTATTTCCCAAAAAGGTGTATTTGGGTACCTAACCCCTGGACCTGTACATGTGACCATATTTATAAAGGAGGTCTTTTTCAGATATAAGCACGTTAGGATAAGGCACACTGAAAAGGGTAAGCCCCAAACCCATAAGACAGGTGTCTTTAGAAGCTAGGCAGACAAAGACAACAGAGAGCACCTCGTGATGATGGACGGACACTAGAATGAGGCACCTAACAGTCTTGAGGATGCTACATAAAATATCTTCAATGACAGAATACTACATGCATTATACCAAGAAAGGGATCTAAATGCCAGAAATGAAAAAACAAGACCAGAGCTTGGCAAGCACACAAGCTGACACTACAACCCTTCTGGCACTGAGGAAGAGGGTTCCTGGATGGGAAGGCAGTTGTCACAGTAACCTTAAAGGCTCCAGCACCCACAGGAGACATAGCTGTGTTTGCATGAAGGGCCATTTCAACTTAAGACACATCCTCTCAAATAAAGTTCTTCTGGAGGACAATCAACTACTCAGAAGGGAAAAATTAAAAGTCCACATAACACAGGAAAATACTGACCCTGAAGTTCATCAGTCTCTGGGTATAGTCACAATCCTAATATTCATATTACAGAAATTTAAAGCTTGTAGCCCTCATTCAATATTAAAGACATTAGTCAATTAAAATTTATCAGAACAAAGTAAATCAGCCATTTCAGTTCGTCAAAGTTCCTGTACAAATGGAAACATCCTTATTCTAACAAGGAATTAGGATTGCAACTTGGAATCAAGTACTTAACATTTTAAAAGCCACCAGCAAACTATAAAGTGCCAGGATAAGACTTGGCTAGAGAGAACAATAAATATCTACCAAATCATTCAAAAAAATTATTCGAAAATAGAAGTCTCAGGGCCAGCAGGCGGCATAGTGGTTAAGGTGCTGTACTCCCACAGGGCAAGACCCAGTGGCTTGCTTTCTCACATTCCGTTTCTGGCTCTCTCTGGTCAAATTAAAAAATAATAATAAATAAAATTAAATAAATAGTTCTTTTAAAAAAAATAAAATCTCTTTCCC